TTTTTTTTTAAATTTCATGTGTAAAGTGGATGTACACTTAACTTCTCTTTATTTATTTTTTTTTCTAAGTTTTATGATTCCCAACAGATTTGTACCTTTCAACTAAAATTAATTAACACTACAAGCTGTCTAAAATAATAATTATTAAAAATATTTCCGAAATTGATTCTGGGCATTAATTTAAGACAAGATTAAGATTATTAAGAGACGCACTTTAGAATCCTAATGTGAAGTAATAAAAACTTTTCATGTATTAATTTGGTAAGTTTTGAGAGTGATTTTAGTTCATAAAATAGCAATGGTTTAAAAGATTTCTGCTAATGTAGCTTAAATATATTTTGTATTATTTTTTGCAGGAAAGTCGTGAAGGAAGAGAAAAGTTTGTTAAGAAAAATAAGAAAAATCCTAGTGCTGGTAAAACTCAAAAGGAGCATAACAAGCGGAAAGCATTTATGATGATAAAACACAAAGTCAGGTCCAAAACAAAACGATCTTTTAAAGATAAACAGGTGTGTATTAAGCTACTTTAATTTGAAAATTAAAATACTGAAACAATTTATTAGCAAAGTTTTAACATTCTTTGGTTAAGTAATAAAAGTTATCTTAATAAAAATCTATATTAGATAATCTTTTTACTTTTGAATTATCTACTTAAGAAGATATTAAAAATTTTATTTATTAATTATATTTATGAACTATATTAATTGTATAGTTTCACCTTTTGTGCTATCAAATAGGAAATGTCAGTGATACGAATACTAACAGGGTCGATAAAAATCATGATTTTTTATATATTTTTTTTAATAAAAAGATTAAAAAATTGGCTTATTCTTTAATTTAAATAAAAAAATTTAAATTAAAACATATTTTAGTTTAGTGTTTTAGGAAAAAATGTATATCAACTTAAATTTTGCTTTTTCAGATTTCCTTGAGGAATGCATTGTTAAAACGAAGAAAGAATAAATAGGCTGTAATAGTTTTGTAAACCTCCTTTGTAAATAAAATTATTGTATATATATCTGTACATATTTCTTTGTTCAGACCTTTAAACATAGCTAGTGTAGCTTTGGATGATACTTTTTTTAATAGGTGAAATTATTATATTGTTTCCCTTAATTGTTAATTGTACTTAATTACGCTTTGTTATAGAAAAAAAAATACTATGAATGTTATTATTTTCTTCTCATAAGTAAACTTAACAAGCTCTTGAGCTTGATCCCATCTCTTTCCAGTTAAAAAGCTACTACTAGATAATTATTATTTGTCTTACATGACAATATTTTTGATCAGCTGAATTGTTAGTTAAATGAATTGGTAAAACAAATGTATGTTATGTACTTGAATTCACTTGATAATCACAGGGCTGATTGTGCTCCGGAAAAAATCCTGATTTCCGGATTTTTCGCTAACAGTGATCCGGAAGTTTCCGGAGATCGAAAGTCCAGATGTTTCAAAAAATCATTGATCACTTAAGTTTCCGGAAATCGAATTTTTAAAGGTAGAACTTAAATACACAGTTTATTTAATTTGTTTGTAAGGGAGAGCCACAGAGATACTTTATAAGCTTATATTCATGATTAATATTCATTTTTTATCACTAAATAGTTGTTATAATCATAAACTCAAAAAAAAAAAAGAAGACATATTTGAAGATTTTAATTACTTCTCCAGGTCATCATAGGTATGTGTAAATGGTATAGGTATGTGTAAAATTTTAAATATATTTTTAGTAAACTAAGAAATATTGAGAAAAAGGAAAAAAAAACCTTGTTTAATTTTTTTCTACTTTTTCAATTTAAACTGTTTCTTTTTTTTTGTTTTTTTTTTCAAATTCAGGAAATTTTCCGGAATTTTGACTTGGGCTCACAATCACCCCTGTAATCATGCAATTCTGATCTATATAACTAATAATTTAATTAAAGAACAATTCAATTAACCTTTGG